ATGTGACGTCACTATTTATCAATGTTCCCTTGGTTGAAACAGTGGATTATAATATATGCGAATAAGTTGTAGGAAGGAAAACCAATATCGGGATCACATGTATGAAATTTAGAGAATTGTTGCCGAAATGTATTGTGGATGTTCATTTTGTATTTAACAAGGAGTTTTACCGTCAAATAGATGGAGTTGCTACGGGTTCCACTCTAGGTCCTTTATTAAATGACATTTTCCTAGCTAAATTAGAAAATGGTTCTCTAAGAGAGGTATTAAACATACTTGCCGTTATGTAAACGAAACATTCATAGTTTTTGACAATAATTTGGATAAACACCATTTAATGCAGGTCATTAATAATGTGCACCCGGCAATTAAATTCACTTGCGAAGAATATCAAGAAAGCATTTCTTTTTAGGATGTTCTCCTTACCAAAAGGCTAAACGGCGTGTTAAAGCGAAATATCTACAGAAAAGCGACATGGAACGAACAATACATCCATTTCCATAGTTTCATACTCGTACAATATACACGGAACTTGATTCGTTATCTTAGTTATAGAATTAGGCGCAAACGTACTGAAGAGGAAATTGGAAATCTTAAAAATACCCTGCTACAAAATGGTTATCCCACTAATTTTGTAAAGAAGTATATTTCCAAAAGAACTGATAAAATCAAGTGTGACACGGTGATTAAGAAAATTTTTTTTATTTAAGCGTACAGTTCAAAAGTGATCTATGCAGCGGCATATTAAGCCATAGGTTGACCAGATCAATTGAAAGAACTTTCACGTAAGAGTGAACAATAGACACCAAAGTCAGATGACCTTGATTTGACCAATCAGATTGCTCAGTATTACAAATGGTTGATCTGTCTGTCTCTGTCTGGATTCAACATAGAACTTGAAACCCAAGTGCAGCAGTTCGAGTTGCCACGTTCCAAATAGCACACAGAGGTAGACAAGAAGATGAGTGAAGAGAATCAATAGAGTTTGACAAGTATAAGAGTGAAACAGAATGGGTAATGGTAGAAAGGAATATGAAAGATTACAGAGACTGAATACATCTGCGCCATTGACAACGATTTTGAGCCATGTCACCTATTGTCTCCAGCCATTGATTCCTAGAGTCCCGAGGCCCCAACCCGGGAGTCTGCATCTCCCTACCTGGTTCATAGTCATAATCCTCGTTGAAAATATCTCCTAGATTTGGTTTTTGACTTCTCTGTGGAAAATGTGTTGATAAGTAAGAATAAAAAAATGCATATTTGGAGGGATAATGGCTCTGCAGAAGTACTGATGGTAATACATTCAGATGCAACCCCTTCATATGAGGAAGTCTCGATAAGTTGGTAAGTTGTACATAAGTGGTGTCTTTTTAGACACTTCTCGAAATCAAAGCTCTCAGTAACAAATTGCGTATATGCAACCAGTATCTGCTACGGCTGGAGAAATAGAGAATACATTGGTTTTATATGTCTATGACGACTTCTATGAGAATCTGGGACCAGTTTTTGCAGCATATTAGAGATGTATACCTTATGTGATTCATTTTTATTACATATATACCGTAGATACACTTCTTTGTAAGTAAAGTACCACTTTTCACCTAGAATGATCTGACTGGCCGTTTCAAGGTCGTTTGAAGTTGGTGTCTATTCTTCACTGTTGCAAACTTTCAATGCTGCAGAACTAAACATCAGTTTCTTAACCAGACCGTTACTGACACAGTGCACCTAAGATGGCCACATCAGTGCGTGTATACAAGTTCAACTGATCATGTGGAGCTGGTCATATAAGTCGAACTCAGAACTTAGGGAGAATTCATAACAAGGTAAGGATAAAAGTGGCTGGCATTCAAACCCACAAACTCAATTAAAAATAACCTTTCTCGGTTAAAGGATCCTGTGGAGCCTTTAAAAAAAACAATTTAGTTTATCTAATACCCTGCCTCTAATGATTGTCAGGTCAAATACATAGGTCAAACTAGTAGAACAGGGGCAGTCAGACTAGCCGAACACAAAAACCTAGCAAAATCTAGATTGGTTGACCCAAATAAGATAAGAAATCTGGAGAACAATTCAGCTATACCACTCAATACATGCAATTACACACAACCATACAATAGGATAGGATAAGATGACAGTTTTGAAATCTAATGTCACAGGGTGGAGGGAGTGATTGATAACAGAAGCTATGTTTATCGAGTCAACTGCAAACACGTGTAATAGGAATGATTCATCACTTGTCCACCCAGACATCTGGAAAATTCTACTACCTCAACGACGACAAATAAGAGAGAACAAAGAAAACTGAAGTTTCGAAGTCGTGTGATTATAATCAGTGATATGATTATGAACAATAAATTTTGTTCAAAACGTCATCCAGTAAATAATACTGTTTCACTGTGTGATATATCTAATAAACAAACTAATATGGAATTACTTACTACCACAGTGCCGAAGTTTTACACATATATTAAAACGAACTCAGAGGAATTTATCTTTACGCGCTTGTGAACATGTTCCTGTTTTGATTGCAAAGTGTCAGCAAATAAATAAGTGGTGCCATTTTGTCTCATCTAAATAGTAAACACCACATCAAAATAGATGAGTCATTTACAGTTGCATATCTAGTACCAAACAATCTGGCTAAAGGCGCACGATTACGTCTCTTAGCTATAGAGAATAATAAAGCACCTGACCTATGTGCACAGAAGAGGCACATTCATCCTCTTTGTTTGCCCTGGCCTACTATAAGGTCAGCAGGCACATAATCATCCATATTTCTACTTCATATAATGCCTTCTTATTTTTTTTCACCTAGTTCACTTAACTTTATTATTACCTTTACTACGTGTCAACCTTTTGTAACTTACACAGCTTATTATGTCTCTAGTATTTTATTACAGTTCACAATTTAACCTGTATTATATCTTTACACTTGATTTCAGCCAGTCCCTTCTTCAACTTACATTCAGTATTCCCCACCTTTTTGGTATTTGTATGTATTTCGCGGTAATCATTTTCCTCGCAAACCATTGAATACAACTCACTCCCATGAAGATTACATCCTATTGACTATAAGAACATTAGTTTGTCACACTTTTGTCCACTCACACTTTATCTTATGTTCTGAGTGACAATATTGAATACCGAACTGTACCCCAACAATACAGCTTCCTATATCATTTTCATATGCCTTTAATGGCTATTTGTATTATAATATTCATGAATTCATAACTGTAGAGCCTGAGGAAGAAATTATCGAAAGTGTTTGCTCCAAATAATCTTGTTTTTGTTACACTAGGGATTTTTAATTTACTCCCCATTTCGTAGGAGAACGCGCAACTATTTTTTTTTATTTTACTAGTTTCCAAGTGGAATACAGTGCTTCAGGCTTAAGACTTGAATTTCCTATGTTATGTTTACAGGATGAGTTGCCAGACTCACACCCAACATTCGCTTCTAACGGATCTTACTATCGGCTAAGCGAGGTTTAGGGGTGCGTAGGGTGAGAATGGAATCCGGACCAAATGCGTGGTTGGCGAATATTCCAAACACTGAACCACCAACGTACCAACTCATTTTCACATCAGTTTATATAAAAAGATTTTGTTAGTCACTAGGTGACAAGACGACACAGCAAACGGGGAAGCATAATTTAGAGATAAAACAAAACATGTAAACAGCTGCAATATGGTTGGCAAGCTTACAGATCTAACTAGCTGAGGAAAAATTCTGTAGATCGAATCGGTGGTGACTGTCGAGATTTGGTTAGCTTGGGGTAATTCGTCATCAACAAAAAGCTGTAGACGACTCCTTTTATTCAATATGAAGTCATCTAATTGGTACTGGCTATATTAATGAATATATTTACACAGCATAATAAACCTTAAACAAATTACCAAACCAACTTGACAAACGATGAACATGTATCCAACAGCGGAGCTACAATATTTATTCGGTATAGGTTTCATCTGGTCAAGAAGGTAATTTTGTTGATGACAGGAGTGATTTTTATGGTGACTGGATCGCAGTTATACAAATTATACACACGATGGAATACAAATTACTTTTTAACATGTGAAGGATATATTCAAAGAACCGTCCAATTTATGCCCAAAGAGTAGAAATTAATACAGCAGTCGTTAGTTAAGTCCGATTTGCATTAATATGCAAATGATGACAATAGCGAGCATAGCAGATTTCTCTGTACCATGCTGTGGGCCCACAGTGAAAAATGTTGGAGAATAAACGGATGTTGACATAAAAGGAATATAAGAAGGCGACATAAGTAGTTGGTTAAGGCAATAACAATCTCTATGTCACAAGTTTAACCCTTGTCACAGTATCACCAATTCTAATACAAGGTTGGTTTATCGGCAAGTACACGTAAATGCAAGTGGTTGTTGGGTAACACTGCAGTGCATTTTTGATGTATATTTACAGCAATAAGGAGGATAATAGTTTCACAAAGTGAACTCCTGCCTTTCTCAGGGAAAATACCAGCTGGATTAGGATTGCTTCAGGGAAAGGTAATGATCAAACATAAACATGGTGACGAGTCATGAGGACCACGAGAGTTGGTTTCAGCCATGCATAGAAGTGCACGTTATTTCGCTTCTTGTTAAGACAGGCTAATGACGTGTTACGTACTGACAGCACACCCATCGCCTTAGGCATCTCCATAATCTACTATGTCACTGATGAGCTACGACTTGCATCATGATGCAAGAATTGCAATTCTTCCTCACTAAACCTCTCACACTTTTAGTAACCAAATGCTGCTTTAGAATATTCAGTAAGAACCGTTAAAGGAGTAACACATATTTTTATGACAAATGGGCATGAGCAGCTTCCTCATACGAGGAATTACTAAATTTTATGTTTTCGTCAGTGAGAGTCAAAGGTAGATGATTAAAAAATAAGGAAACTTTACAGGTATATAACTAAAACGGGGTCTGATTATCAAAGATATGTTTATTATTACATAAAAATTTTCAAACCTGCTGGTATATGTGCAGAATAACCAGTAAACTACGGGAGAAACGCTCCGAACAGAAACACACACTTCGGTATTTCAAATTAGATGTGCTGGCATGCATGACCTCAAGTTCCTCAAGGTCAAAGTGTGGTAACATTTGGTCAAGAACAGTTCTTCAACAGTAGCTCCGTCATGTCTGGTACACGGCATTAAAACCATTTTAAAAAGTTTTCAGTCCGTTGTCTTATGACACAGGGATCATTTTAATAACGTTAACATCACTACCGAAACATCCTCACGTCGCAATGCTGACCCCACTGAATATACGGAATCCAATATCCTGATTACGAGCTAGTATAAACCAGTGATTTCTTTGAGCTCGCTTCTTGATTGTGAGGTAGAGGTTCCAGATCTTCGGTGAGCTTCTGCGTAGTAAGTCCCGCCACTCGACTGCTTTAGCTCTGGTAGACTCCAGGAGGAGTGGTGCGGGGATTGGTCGAGATGTGGTTTGTAGTATGCAGTATGTTAGGACTGTATTGCTGCCGTGAATGGAGTTTGACCTAACTCCCGTTGGTCATTCGGTGTAGTCATAAAAGCAGAATAGTAATAATAATAATAGGTTGTAGTGTAGATAATATAGGTTGAGATAAGTGGAATAATAAAGGTGACCTAAGGAAAAGATAGAGTGAGAGAAGGCAGAATAGGTCGTGGGGATTTAGTTTGTACGCTTATCCATTGACAGTGTGGTTTCAAGTTTTATGAGGATAAGCCATTGAGACACAAACCTTGCATTTCTGCATGATTGTCTAGCTTCCGCTTAAAAATCTCCAGAGATGGCGCTGTAGTCACGGCCGCCGGTAAAGCGTTCCAGAGACGGCAAACACGAAGCGAAAAGAAATGTGATCGCACTCGAGTCTTTGGTCTCTGGTGTGCTATCCTTAGCGGGTTACCTCGTGGAAGCCTATAATCACTTAATGGCAGGATGCTTTTATTTGGGTGGGCCTGGTCATTTAGGATTTGGTAGACGGTGATGAGGTCTCCCCTGTGCCTACGGTAACTAAGTGTGAAAAGACCTAATTTCTTTAGTCTTTCCTCATATGATTTGTTGCGGAGGCCGATCACCCATTTTGTCGCTCGTCTCTGGACACTTTCTAGAATGTTAGCATCCCTTTTGAGTAGCGGAGGTGCAATGATATTATGCACCTCAAGGTGTGGCCTCACATATGCCTTATATAACCTTAAGAACAGTTCGGGAGTGAGAGCTCCCAGCTGCCTATGCATAAAGTGTAAAGTTGCGTAGGCTTTGGCGACGTCCCTCGAGTAATTTCCACTGGTGTCTAGCTTTTCTGTTAGAATAAGACCTAGATCACGCTCTGATGGAACACAACTCAAGTTCTGGCCACCAAGGGTGTAATTTACACTCTGTGACCTGCCGGAATGAAGTTGCACTACTTTGCACTTCTTTAGGTTGAAAGGCATTCCGTTAGCCAGAGCCCAGTTTCCCAGAGTTTGCAGGTCAGCCTGCAATCTATCTGAGTCTTCCGATGAGTTTATTGCTCTCCAAATCTTTACGTCGTCAGCGTAAAGAAGCGCAGAGCAGTTTAGTTGGGAGGGCAGGTCGTTGATAAAAATCAAAAACATCAACGGCCCTAGGATAGAACCCTGAGGAACCCCTGATGCCGAGGTGTGCCAGGATGATCGGATGCGGTTGACTTTGGTGCAGAATTCTCTCTCGCCTAAGTAATCTTTCAGCCATGCGAGAAGTGCTCCAGAAACACCCGCCTTGCTTATTTTGTGAAGGAGCAGACCATGGTGAACTGTGTCGAATGCTTTCGCAAAGTCGAGAAAGATCACGTGGGCTGGTACCTTTTTGTCCCAGGATAGTGTCCAATCGTTCCAAGCTAGTAGAAGATTCGTCACGCAGGATCTTCCCCTCCTGAAACCGTGCTGTGCTTCGTGAAGAAGGTTAGTCCCATCGAAGTATTTTCTCATGTGGTCGTCAATGAGACTTTCCAATATCTTCGATATCACTGGAAGTAGAGCAACTGGTCTGTAACTGGTCACATTCTGCCGGTCACCACCCTTGAAGATAGGGGATAGGATTGCTCGTTTCCATTCACATGGAAGTTTCCCTACATCAAGGGAGTGTTGGAACAGATCACTTAGGGGTTGGCAGAGACTTTCTGAACACTGCTTCAGGACAGATGGTCTGATGTCATCACAACCTGAAGACTTTCCCGAAGCCAACCTTCCCAATTTTGCAAGTACCATAGCCGGGGTAATTTGAAATGTACCCAGCAGGTTTTCGCGTGTTGGTTTTGCGATGTAATCTGGATGTTCTGTGGGGTAATATCCTCGTTACTGTTTAGTTGCCTGTGAAAGGCTAGGCTGAATGTCTCTGCCATTTCAAGACTAGTAAGAGATTTCCCATCAGAACCCACTAGATTGCATGCTCCCTGGTTGGTCGGTTTTCTTTCGGACATAAACCTGTATAGGCTTTTGGGGTTCACGAGAAGCTTATTGGCGAGGTCTCCCTGAAATGTCCTTCTATCGCTCCGGACTCGTATGTTACATCGATTCCTGAGTTCAAGGTACACTTCATGTTCGGGTTGACTCTTCGATCGTCGCCACGCAAACCAGGCTTTTCGCTTCGCCTGCAGAAGGCGTTGTGTCCCCTTTTTAGCCATGATCGTTGCTTCCTAGCTTTTGGTGTGACTAAAGGAACAGTGTCTGAGACCGCCTGGTGAATGATCTCCTTTACCACTCTCCAGTGTTCTTCTACTGTTAGCTCTGTCCATTTTTTAGGCCAATTTGCTTCAGACAGAAGTCTTCGCATTTTGGTGTAGTTGGCTTTGTTATAACACAGATAGGGCTGTGTATTGTCCCACTGTAAGCGCTCGCGGAGGACTATGTCGAATACTATGACCGCGTGGTCACTACTACCTATGGGAGTCGTGATCTGAACGTTTTCCACTAGTAGCTGGTCACTAGTGAGCACGTAATCCAGTCTAGAAGACTTCCCATCAGGGCCCCATCTAGTATCCATCTTGACATTTTCAGTGAATCCAGCCTTCCTGATGGTATGCAGCAGATTTCGATCAAATCTATCATGGGCTTTTCCCGACACCAAGTTAAGAGATGGGGCATTGAAGTCACCAGCTATGACAATTTGATCATAACCCATGTCTTGAGTTGCTGAGATTGTATTTAGCAGTACCTGGTTGTGGTCTGCTCCACATGAAGGTGATCGATAAATGCTGCCCACTAGATATTTGCAGTACCCAACGGTGAAGTGGCACCATATGGAGTCAGGGAGCTCTGTGAGGGGAGGGTCCATCGCGTGAACACATCTGAGCTGTTTGTCGACGTATATGGCGACTCCACCTCCTTCTTTCAGGTCCCTATCTCGCCTGACTAGGACCATATCATTTATACTGACTTCGCTGTCTGCCACCGTAGGGGTTAGCCAGGTTTCCGTCAGTATTATGATTTTGGAGTTCAGTTGTGATTGTAGGTCCATTATGGGTAAATTTTGTTTTGATAAAGTCTCACAGTGTTATACAGTAATGTTTACTGATGACGTTTCGAGCACAATTTATTGCTCATAATCATATCAAGGTATGATTACCCATAATGGAATTACACTCTACCACAGTGCACAAGTTTTATTCTTATATCTGTGATTGTAGGTGTCTAAGTTCAGCTATTTTGCCTCTTAGCCCTCTCACATTACTGTACAGGCAACTGGTAGTCAGTCTCACCATTTCCCCGTATTGGGGGGTAGTTGACTTGATATTGGCTATCGGTTGAGGAGTTATCCTACGAACTAGTTGGCCGATTCCCCAGGAACTGGCCTGTTGGCGTTTTTTTCTTCTAGTTCAGTCGGAGCACTCGGATGACACTGGCTATCATCGTCCGTGCTGCACCGCTGTAGTGTGACCAGGGGAATCAGGGTCAAATATACCGATTGAGGATAGAAGGCTTGAAGAGCATGTGAATACTTTTCTAAAAATTTTCTATGTCTGCCTCAATCCTTCTTGAGTAAATCATCTGAGGAGGCTGACACCACTTCGTCGGAAAAATCAGTTATATGGGCTTATGACAATGTGTGAGAAAGAGCGCTGCTGGGTGACACAGTTCCTGATGAGCTTTTGAACTCCCCCGCCATGTCCATTGAAGTTTTCCGACCTGGTGGGAAGGAAAAGATGAAGTAGATCAGGTCCACAGTCTTTATAAGGGATTTTAAACGGACTTAACCTATTCTCTCTTTTCCTTCCCACCAGTTTGGAACACCTTGGAGGACATAGCATGATAGTTCAAAAGCCAAGAAGATGTCATATTGCTGTTGAGTACTGGTTCTCACACCGAGTCATAAACACTTGGAACCGACTCCCAGAAGAAGTGATGTCTGCAACCTCAACTGATTCGTTCAAGAAGGGTTTGGACAACCACAGACACTTACTAGAAAAGGATAAACATAGGCTCCAAGCCTCCTAACCTGGATCAATAAATCTGAATTAGGTGTCATCTTTGCATTTGACAGGAGAAGAGATCTGGTCTTTCGTCGTTTTGTAGCGGTAAATAATTCCCAAACATCATTGACCACAGCAATCATCACTGAAAATTGGATACTGACCGGTCTGTTTAAGTTGACTTGTTTAGCTGAAGGCTTCCAGTCAAGTATCTATGTCATTTGGTACTCCGTCGTGTCACGTTCTTGCACGATCCCTAGCCAGTTAGGCAATCATCTCGCAATCCGTTTTGGTCCCGAAACATATCCAGTAATTTGAACGATCAACTCAGTTCTTTTGCTTCACATCTGATCCACGAGAAACGAATACTATAGAAGTTGTTGGTATAAGATCTTGCGTTAGTAGACTCCGTACAATTCGTGAACGTCAATACCGTAGCCTATAAACTGGTGAGCTAAACCGCGGACTTCATCTTCGATAAATACGTAGATAAACCTGGTGAGCTCGTTTCTTTTAGTATTTGTTCTTGTATTATATTGAAATTAGCATACATTTCGTCATGAGTGATCCTAGTCCCGAGGTCATTCGTATTCTGTCACCTGCCAAAAACATTCAGCTCGTACCATTTTGGCGAGATAATGCTCAGATA